ATATATGTATACATATTCACACATATATATGTATATGTATACATCACACACACACACACACACACACACACACACTTACACTCCTTGAGAGCAGAAATCTGTGTCTTAAGTTTGTTTTTTATCACTTACAGCACCACCAAAGGGTTTTTCTCAAGATGCAGTACTTAAGAGTTTGGTGGAGAACCTTGTTAAATGCCTGTGTCTACTGTGCTTGACTTGTCCTTATCAGACCCCAAGCCATTTGGAGCAATAAAACCTGTACTCTGTACTTTTCTTTGCAGGCTTAGTCACTTTTACGGTACCTATTTCCTGGTGACATATATTTACTTTGTGGTCAGATGCTTTACGATAAATTAGGTGCAAATTGGGACTCAGCTATCCAGGTTCCTGAAACATCTCGGGACACTTTCAGACAAAGCCCCTTGAAAATCTCATAAAACTTACCTCTCACCCAAGTCAGAGGTACATAAGTAAATCCACATAGGTTTACACGCAACTGCAGAAGGTTTGTAGACACTCTCTCCTCCCTGAAAATCCACTGATGGTGGCGGGGGTGGGGGGTGTGGTTATTGGATCCTAGGTTAAAAGTCGTGGAACTGGGAGGATTTTTAAAGTTACTAGAAATGTAAATGCAAGCAAAATTTCTAACATCACTTAACACTGGTAGAATGACTATAAAAATTTAAGAAGTTAGCACCACTTAGAAAGTTCCTAAAATATCAGGGAGAACATGTCTCACTCTTACATTAGAATTTTAGAAAATTCAGGAAGCAAATTTATCTTAAATATTTTTGTTACAAGGCATATAACATTTTTGAACTAGTGTGCTATTTCATCTTTTAACACATTTTCTCAATTATTTGTTAGTATGTTAACTAAACAATTTCCAAATGCAGATTAAAAAGTATACTAGATCTGAAAAATGAGAATTAGAATTGTCCTTGGAGCATTTTGCCTTTTTCAGAGCTAGCCTTTTGAATCAGAGGGATACACTTAAAAGAAGTTATAGCAATAGCAATAAAAACCATTTGAAGATAATGTACTGTGATATAATTTAGTTATCACTAGCAAATTGTAAAGTAAAATTCTACTTAGAAATTAGATTATATTTCAGCAAAAACATAAGAATTCTGTCGGTCTCTTTTTTGTTGTTTGTTTATAAATTTGTTCCTCAGTTTTTGTTTTTGTAGGACCCTGAGAGAAATATGTTTTCAATTTCCTTATGCATTTTTTTTTCATTTAATCATCCTTTCAACAATGCTTATGGTGAGCACACTCTGTCGGCCTTCAGTATCTGTGGGTTCCACATCTGTGGATTCAACCAACTTCACATCTAAAATATTTGGGGAAAAAATGTGTCTGCACTGAACATGTACAGTTTTTGTTTTTCTTGTCATTTTTCCCTAAGAAATAGAGTATAAAAGCCATTTATACAGCATTTACGTTGTAGTTGGCATTCTAAGTAACCTAGAGGCAATTTAAAGTAGATGGGTGGATGTGCACAGGTTATATGCAAATCCTGTGAGACTTTATATCAGGAACTTGGGCCATAATTGCCATGCTATAAAGGTTTGTATTATGTTACCATACAAAGAGTAACATGATATCATTCTAGGCAGTTTTTTTGCTAAACAGTTTTTGCCCAGGAACTTGGGTGTTCTTGAATTTCGGTATCTGAGAGAAGGTGAACCAATCCTTCGTGAATACCAAGACTGTTCTTGCTCCTAGAAGGGCAAGATTGAGGAAGGTGAGTTGACTCCTGTTTTCACAAAGTTTATTCTCTGGAAGGTAACAGACAAATAAGCAATTATTTCAAAGTAGAGAAATGGCTCTGAGATCATAAAAGGCAGGCTTCCGGGTAGATGGAGGTATTAGGGAAATCCTTGTACAGGAAGTGGTTTCTAGGGAGAGCTGGGGGAAGAGTACTGCTGGGTAGCAGATAGGAATGAATGGGCCCCCTGAACGCTCAGCCAAGGGAGAAGGCTTAGAGATGAGAGGAAAAGGACGTTTGAAGCAGGAAATGTGAAAAGAGGAATGGGAAGAGATGAGACGAGAAAGTGGGCAAGAATCTGATCAAAGAGCATCATGTGGTTCATGTTAACAATTAGGCATTTTCCTAGGGGCAGTGGGGAGCCTCTGAAGTATTTTATGAGTCTGTTTGACATTTTAGAAAAATTACCATGACTCAATGTAAAAAGGGGATTGGATAAAACAGGCAAATGCGTTAGCTCACTGTTGGGTTGAACTACCTTGTTGGGGTATAGCCCTGAACTTACAGTTAGAGACATAGATAGTTCTCCTAATTATGCTGTACTTTAGTCCCAGTGGTTCTCAAACCTGATCACTAGAGTCAACCAGTGAACTTTTATAAATGCACATTCCTGGGCCATCCCTCTGGCTAACCTAATTCAGAGAAGCTGAAGAAATGGCCACACACCATGCTATGCCCTTGCACCATTCACAGGTGACTTATGTACCGGTGAGTATACCTTTGAGGGGACCACCAGCCCATCATTGTCAGCTCTGGACCATTCCAACTTTGGCATCCAGTAGGCTGTCTCACAATGGGAGAGGCCACATAGCAGCCTACAAACACATTCCCCTCGCAGCCTTGCCCAGCAGGAACCCTGAGTTATCCATATTGCCTCTGACAACATCCTTAATAGGCTTATTCCAAATGTGTCTTCTGCAATAAAGTTGTTCTTGATCATTCTAATCAGACATGATGTCTCATTCCTTTGCATTCCCATAGGACTTTGCACTGTATAATAACCTTTATCATTTTGCACATTATAATATCGTTTCTTAAATCCTGAGACTTGGTTGGTTTTTGGATTTGCCTAGGGTAATAACTTGTCAATACCTATTTAATTGATTCACTTACAGATATAATAGGGGGAGGATGGCCTCAAAGAGAAAACATACAAACACATTTTTTAAAAGCCTATATCTTTGAACACATAGATGAAAAGCAGAATAAACATTAGCTCAAGAGGAGACCAGAAGCTGTAGAATATTGTATTGTCATGCATGGCGAAAAATAAACACTCGATTTCTAGATTTTTTCACTGGGTTTCTAAAGCCTCAGAATAAAGCAAATCGACTTTAGGGGAAAATAGAGGTAGAAAGATAATGGGGTTCTTGCAAGTAATCCCCTGGAGGGTACAGGCAAAAAAGAAAGGGCCTTCAAGGAAACAGAACTTCGTAACAGTTATGGGTGTAATATTTACCATATGTCCCATATGTTTTCAAATTACAAAAGTGCAACTCTTTCCCACAGCCCATGTGCAAGTGGACCCGACAACCCAAGCCCACAGAAATCAAAGACGGTAATCTACCACAAATTCTGCCACGCTAGACGGAACGAATATCTGTCAGATTTTTTTACTTAAACTTCTCTTCCTTTAAGAAGGCAGCATATGGCTCTAAACTGCACATTTAATTTAAAAATCCTTTAATAACAGCATTAATTCTCATCGTTTTGCATTCCAGCAGTCTGTGACAAGTAAGCATGCTCTGTGTGCGTCAGGCAGCCCCGACTGCAACGAGGAGAGGAGGCTGGGAAAGCCGAGGCGAGAGTTCAGGGGACATTGTTTGCCTGGAGCCCTGTTCCGAGATCAAATCAGGGGCTGAGGACGTGTGATGATGAAGGAATAAGTTAGATTTCCTTTTGTCTAAGCAGAGGATATCTTTCAAATAAGACAATTCACTTGAAGCTTATAAAAGGCAAACTGGGCCCTTGAGAAGGAGAACTCAGCAGTGGTGACAAAGGCCAAGAATCCTGATCTTTAGACAAGAAGTCAGCCATGGCTTCAATTGTAGTTTTTAATGATCTTATTTTTGTGCTCTCGCTTAAACCTGGCTCAGTGCTTATCTTTTTAAATGACTTGTTTCCTCTCATCGAAAAAGCAAAACCGGGAACCTCTCACAAAGTAAAGGCCACACACCCTAGGGCAGGGCGTGCAAGGAGGGAGGAGCCCCACTAAGAATTTAGAATTTACTAAGAGTAAATGCCTCCCTAACGCTTAGCAGCCTGACTTAGGAAAGAGGGCGGGGTGACTGTGATCCAGAAGCTGAGGGCGTCCCCAGAGATATGAGGAATGGGAAGTACTGCACTGACACACCTGGGTAAGGGGGAGCAGGCAGGAGGGGCAGAAGCTAGCTGGGTGGGGGATGGGGAGGCAGGAAAGGAAACGGAGTTTAGAAGAGAGGGCCCCTTCTAGTGAGACTGAGTAAGCACAGAAAAAAAAAGCCCCTGCTTTGTGTGGCCTCCCTAGAGCCTGGGGAATTCGCAGAAGATAAAAGGCCAGACGTTTCCCCCTGAAGACTGCAGGGTAGCACCTTTGTTTGTGAATGGCATACACCCTGGGGTGGGGATTCCTTTGCGGTTGCCATGACGGCCTGTCACACAAAGTTACATGTCCTGCCCTCTCCTCCCTGCCACCCCAGCTGTCTTCAAATGGCCTGGATTTTAACTTCTGCATTTCAGAATGGAGGAACTTTGCTTCTTAGGGTTTCTAACGCAAATGGTCTAATTTTAAAGTCGATTTCCCTCCACTGAGCAAATCTACATGAAGGGTACCCTGAGAATATTTTATTTTTGTATTCAGTGCCTTTTCAAATTTTCTGTCTTCTGTAAAGCTGTGTTTGGGGCATTAGCAGTGCATAAGAATAACCACTTAGGCCGGGCGCGGTGGCTCAAGCCTGTAATCCCAGCACTTTGGGAGGCCGAGACGGGCGGATCACGAGGTCAGGAGATCGAGACCATCCTGGCTAACACGGTGAAACCCCGTCTCTACTTAAAAATACAAAAAACTAGCCGGGCGCGGTGGCGGGCGCCTGTAGTCCCAACTACTCGGGAGGCTGAGGCAGGAGAATGGTGTGAACCCGGGAGGCGGAGCTTGCAGTGAGCTGAGATCCGGCCACTGCACTCCAGCCTGGGCGGCAGAGCAAGACTCCGTCTCAAAAAAAAAAAAAAAAAAAAAAAGAATAACCACTTAACAAACACTGCGAAGGGAATCTGAAGTAGGTGGCCTCTAGGCTGGGGGGAAGAAAGAGCAGAAAGACAATTCTCTTGGACCGAAGAAATATTTCCCTATGATTTCGCAGTAAAAGTCTTCTAATAAAAAAAATTTTGTAAAGGAGGGTCTTTTAAAAAGTGGTCTGTGGTCTGACCCCTCTTCAAATGTACTTTTATGACTAATGTCGGGTGACCAAGCAATTATTATACTACTTAAAAATCTCATTTAATGGACTGAAAAATCAGCCAGTAAAGTGGACCATGTTTGGTTTCTGCTCAACCTCATAAAACCTTTGAAGTTCCATGAGCAACCGGATAATGACATTAGAAGTGGGGATGCCTTGAGAGCCTTCTTGCCTTCAGTCCCTTAGCTCAGCTCTAGGACGCAAGCCCTGAGCACCAGGAATTTTTGCCCACTGTATTCACAATGTCCCTGGCACATAAGAGGTGCTCAGAAAATATTTGTTAAGTAAGAGAAATTTAATTATTGTGACATCTGAAGGATTAAGGCCAAAAGTTAAACATAATAGTATCCTAGATGATTTGAGGAAAATAAAACATTTATGCTGGGAATTTTTTTTAGATAAGATATTCACTTGTATTTTCTTTCCCTGCATATTAGATCCCTTTTCTTCTCTCTGTTGAAGCCAGTAGCATGGGCTGAGCCTATTTCCTCAAGGGCTCCATAAAGTCCTGTCCCAGCAAAAAGCTTAGTATTGTGTTTCTAAAATTACCTCACAGCGTTCGTTGCAGGCAAAATATCCTTGCAAAAATCATGAAGAGCGAAAGATTTTCTCAAGACGAGAAAGAGATGGTCAAGGATGGCTGGAGGCAGGCTGGTAAGAATGGAGTTCTCCGGATCTTGGAGCAATGGATACTTGTCAAGAGGCAGATCTTTGGGGCTGGCAAGAGCCCAGATTGGGGATAGTAACAGTTGGAGGAACCATGAGCAGCCTGGAGAAGACCCTCATGCACCAAGTACAGTAGGGGAGCCCCAGAGTCAGCAGTGCCTATCCTGTGGGCACAGTGAGCTGGAGAGAACTGTCTTGGAAGAAACAGTTAAACAGGGCTTCCCACTTCCAAGGTCTTGACCTTCCTTAGGCCCGCTGAATACAGGTCTTGGAAGAGGGAAGGGGAAAGTCAAGATATACTGAGGTCAAATTGTCCTGCGAGGGTATTAGTTTGTTCTAATACTGCTGTAAAGAATTTACTGAGACTAGGTAATTTACAAAGGAAAGAGATTTAATTGATTCGTAGTTCAGCATGGCTAGGGAGACCTCAAGAAACTTACAATCATGGCAGAAAGGGAAGCAAACACGTTCTTCTTCACATGGTGGCAGGAATGAGAAGGGCCGAGCGAAAAAGGGAAACCCTCTTATAAAACCATCAGATCTCATGAGAACACACTCACTATCACAAGAACAGCATGGGGGGACTGCCCCCACCGTCTAATCACCTCTCACAAGGTCCCTCCCCCAACACATGGGGATTACAATTTGGATTACAATTCAAGATGAGATTTGGGTGGGGACACAGAGTCAGACTATATCAGTCAGCTATGCAGGAAGGGGCTCCAAATACCATTTAAATTAGCTCATAGAAAATATATTGCCGTTTCTTCTGGTATAACATGAGTTTTTGAATGGAGAGTTGCACCGAGTATACATTAATTTAAAGCAATGCATTTTAGAGCAAACACAGATATACTTTGTATTTATGTGAATTTATAAAAGCAAATTCATACTTCAAAGAAACATCATCCTCTTGGGCTGTGACTTCTGCCCCACTCAACTATAGGTTCGATGAGGCAGAAACTGTGTTTTGCCTGTAATGTCTTCCCAGGGCCTGGCATATCACCTCACTCAGAGGAGGTACCAAATATTTGTTGAAATAATAAATTAATGCATGACCTTGTCTGCCCACTTGGGATTATTCAGTAGAAAATTTTCATATGTTCTCAAGATGATGCAAAATATATGTACACACCAGGCACTACACTACTGTCTATTTTTAAAAACATGGTTTTCTTAGGTGGATTTGTATCATTAGCATTTGTAACTACTAATGATCCTGTGGGTCTGATGATATGGGCAGATTAAACACCCTCTCACATTTGTTTGCATTCTCTCTTGTAGCCAGACTCTGAAACTTCTCCCAATAAAACAAATATTAACTCTCTCCCTTTTGTGTGTTGTTTTCTTCTTTAGGTTCTTTCCAGCCATTCTGTCTCCAAATGGCTTTAGTGTATCTTCAAGAAGTGATACACTTCAAGGTAGTGTATCTTCAAGATGCCTATTCTTTATCCTTTTACTTTCCAACCACCCCCAACCTGAGAGCCTTTTTCTTATCCAGTGCATGTCAGTACCCAGAAAGACAGATATATTTGGTACATATCAGTAGAGGCATATTCTGTTGCTTTCTTCTCAGCACAAATCATAATTAACACCTGTCAGATTGGAGACAGTGATATGTGTACCTTGAGCAAGTGGTTGACGGAAAGTGAAGACGTCAGCACAGTCAGGGATAGCATCAAAACTTTGTACTCCTTGCAAGGGCAGGAGCATCCCCAGCCAGGGCAGTGACCACAGCAAAAGGCACGAGCTCCCCTTAAGCCATCAGCACAGCCTCACTGGTGTGCACCAGCTGAGCACCTGCCAGGTACCCGTCATCAACCCAACTCATCACCTCCAACAGAACAACCAAGGGATGCGGTGTTATCAGTGGTAGGGATCTGCCTCCCGCCTTACACCAGAACACCTCCATGGCCTCTCCCTCAGCCTATGTGTTGACTTGGCCTGTCTTCAGCTTTGCTGCCACTTTAAACTTGGCTTTCCTGGTCAGCCTGGTGCAACCAGACCACAGGTATGTACCCTTTCACAACGTGCCTTCTGCCCACCCGTTCCCCGTATTTCTCCTGCCTCCACCCCAATCCTAGTCCTATCTTCCTGCAAAAGAATAACAGTAACAGCTTCCATACCCTTGGTCTCTCTGCCCCTGGTAAATCCATTCTTCACACCTCTTGGGGTTAGTCTAATTAAAACCCTGTATGTTCTGTCCCTCTACTATTCAAAAGATTGTAGTGGCACTAATTGCTCTAAGGAAAAATTCCAAATTCTTTAGAAACTTTCAAAGCTCCATCTTCCATTCATTCAGGCAACAAATTTTAATTGAGCAGCCACTGTGTTGCACATACACTTTTAGGTAGTGGGGATTCAGAGAGGAAAAGAGCAAAGGTCCTTCCCCGTTTTATGGAGCTTTATCTACTCAGTCAGGCCCTCACTGGGACAGAAACACATACCAAGTCCATGACTGTTTGGGGCTTTTGTTTGTCTTGTTCCCCTTTCTTTCTGACTCACTTTTAATACTTTAGAATTCATCAGTATCCTTGGAGCAGTGTGCCCGCCTCCCCTGTGGAGCAGCTGCCTTTCCCAGGGGCTCCCGGCTCACCAGACCTGTCCTTCCAGGACCAGAAAGAATGGGACCCTCCAGCTGACACTTTTTACCCCTTTTTTCTCATTGTACTTAGGTTTTCATATTGCTTGTTGCTCCACTAAAGTATAAGCCTCTGCCCATGGGACATGGCTTTGTTGGGCTTTTCTCTGCTCCGTATCCAGCAGTTAAAACAGTGCACAGCATGTAGTGTGTGTCAATAGAGATCTGTTGAATAGTCAAGGAAGAAAAAATAAAAGCATTGCCATCCTTAAATGGCTTTTCTTGCATTAAATGATTGTATTCTAGCTTTCTGTAGGAATATCTATAGGTCATAACAATGATAACTGATAGTTATGGCATGCTAACTAAGTACCAGCCATTGTTCTAAGCAATCTAAGCAAATTTACCCATACTATTTTACTTCATCCTCACTACAATCCTTTGATGTGAGTTTTGTTATTATACCCATTGTACAGAAGAGAACACTGAGGCACAGAGAGCAATGCACCTAGTCTAAGATTAAATTGCAATTTGCTCATCCACAGTACAAGCTGTTCCCAGTATAATGGCATGTGTATTCATAACCACCTTGTCTTAATCACCTTGGTGTATCATAACAAAATATCATGTATGGTGGGCTTAGAAAACAGAAATATATTTCTCACAGTTCTGGAGGATGAGAAGTCCAAGATCAAGGTCTTCGGCAACCTTAATCATATCCTGATGAGGGTCCTCTTCCTAGCTGGTATATAGCCACTTGGCAAAGAGAGAGAAAGAGAGAAAGAGAGAGTGAGAGAGCACTCTGTTGTTTCTCTTTATAAGAGCACTAATCCTAACACATTAGCTCCCCACCCTATGACTTCATCTAACCTTAATCACCTCCTGAGGTCCTAACCTCAAATCCAGTCACATTGGTGATTAGGGCTTCAGTATATACATTCTTTTGTGGGGGGTGAGCACAAACATTCAGTTCATAACACTGGTTCTCCCTTCAGCCCATAAGCATTCCTCAAGCACCTTCAACGGGTTGGCACTTGAGAAGAGGAATAAATCCAGCTAACTCTCCACCTTCAAAGGTATCTCTTCCTAGGGGAGAAGACACAAGAGCAGTACCATGAGAGAAGTTCTCCAATAAAATTACGAACCTGTGTTCATAGCTATGAGCGCAGAGGTGGAAGCACACCACCTGCAAAGGTCAGAGAAGGCTTTGCAGGGAGCCGTATTTAGCCTCTGTCTAGAGCAAGTGTGCCCAACCCATGGCTGCAGGTCACATGCAGCCCAGGATGGCTTTGAATGCAGTCCAACACAAATTCGTAAACTTTCTTAAAACATTATGAGAATTTTTTGCAATTTTTTTTTTTTTTTTTAGTTCACCGGCTATTGTTAGTGTCAGTGGATTTTATGTGTGGCCCAAGACACTTTTTCTTCTTTTTTTTTTTTTTTTTTTGAGATGGAGTCTCGCTGTGTCGCCCAGGCTGGAGTGCAGGGGCCGGATCTCGGCTCATGGGTTTAGGCCATTCTCCTGCCTCAGCCTCCTGAGTAGCTGGGACTACAGGTGCCCGCCACCTCATCCGGCTAGTTTTTTTTTTTTGTATTTTTGTAGTAGAGACGGGGTTTCACCATGTTAGCCAGGATGGTCTCGATCTCCTGACCTCATGATCTGCCCGTCTCGGTCTCCCACAGTGCTAGGATTACAGGCTTGAGCCACCACGCCCGGCCGACAATTTTTCTTCTTGCAGTGTGGCCCAGGGGAGCCAAAAGATTGGGCACCCCGGTCTAGAGTAACATATAGAACAGGGCCATGCACTTGATAGGAAGCTAGAGATCCCAGACTTTAGGAGCAGCATTTGAAAAGGCTCAGGGTCCTGGTAGCATGAACCTTTCAGAATATTTACCATTAGTTTCGTAATGCTTGAGCTGGAAGACCCATGTGAAGGGATTAGGCCAGAATTCCAAGCGAGGGACCCACGTGGACATCTGTCTGCCATAGAAAGCATGGATTTCTTTCTGGTGCATTTTAAACAGGAGAGGATGTAGCAGAGTGAGGTTGGGAACACGGATGGACAGAAACAGCAGGAGTAAGTGACCACAGAGAAGAATAGGCCAGGTGGAAGTGTTACACATTCACAGAAGAAATGGTGCCTTAGGAGGCTGAATGGTCTGAGTAAGGGACTAAATGCCTGACCGGAAAGGAAGGACGAGAGAGAGAAACCCAAGGTTTCTGGTTTGAATGCTGAATAAGTGAGGTCTCCTTTAACTGAGTTGCAAAATATCTTTCAGCTGAGAAATGCTACCATCAAGGTAGCGATGGCTTGGAGACAATTGTCTCAACTCCACCTGGAGTTTAGGAGTGACTTTTGGAATCAGGATATAGATTTTGGAGTCATCAGCTAATAAATTGGCCATTTAGGGGCTTCAGTTAAGCCCTAGACAGTGACAGTAGAGGGTTAGGGAAGGACCAGGTCATTCTGGGAGCAGAGGCCCTGCGTGCCTGGAGGAGTCACCTTCTCACAAAGCCTGCTCTGATGGGGAGAAGCGAGGGAGACAAAGAAATGGAGATCTGGGGACCACGAAGGGCAAAGGCAGTGCTTTGGTGGATGCTGAAGAAATGACTGCAGTGAACTCACAGGCAAACAAGAGTCTGTAAGTCACATGCTGGCAGAAAACTTTAGTCTATTAAATATGGGCATTTTCTCCCTTGAGATTATTTTTAACAAAAACTTGCATTAGATTAGGAAGTTTATTAAATTCCTCATGTCAGAACGGACATCAGACCCATTATCTGAGCCTCCCAGGGAGGATGAGCAATTTGTACTATAACAATAGTATAGGTGAAAACTAAATGCTGGGCACCACCTCACAGCGACACGTGGTTATTGCCACGGAAGACCCAGGCTGGCAGCCCAGCTCCCCAAGGCCCCGTGCAGCAGCATTACGGAGCTGAAGGATTTGCCAGGGTCCCAGAGCTGGCCCCACTTTACAAGCTGCTGCTCAGGGACAGAGGCACATTTTCCAGGCGCATTTTCCAAACTCATTAGACTAAAGTGTAGAGCGAGAATGCCAGTGTAATAATTTCAGAGAAATAAAGCTGTCACACAGCCTCAGTTAGCAGGACCAAGACATTCTGTCCCGAAGGTTAAGCCATAGGACAAATCAAATCACCATCAGGAGCCTCTTTGTTGAGATACCCGAAAGATTGACTGCATAAGGACCTGATATTCAAAGTAGTGTGTGCAGCTCTTTCTCCCCATATACTAAGCCAACTTATTCATTAACTATGAGAATTTACTGTCGCAGGAACCAAAACACATTAAATTGGCAGACCTTTCCAGGGGAAGCCAACCTACAATCAGAATCTTCTTGTGAGCACAGACTAATCACCAAGGAGTGAGAGTACTGAGCATTTAAATGACATCAGGCAAAGGTGTGCTGAGATGTGCATCTCACAGAAGGGAAAACTTCTGCTACTAGGAGATTATTTGGCTAAGCTCCGCCCATTGCCATTGCACTTGAGAGGCTCTTACCAAGGAAGTCAGGTGCTCAGGAGTCCCTCGGCCAATGTGCGTCTCTTCTCTAGAGGGATGGTAGCAATGCATGCCTGTGAGACTCTTCTTCATGTCCATTGTAGACACTGGGTGCCTAATGGAAACCTTTTTTCTCTCCAGATATGGAAATGAATGTAAGCTGCACTGCAGTCTCACAAGTCCTGTGGGTCCTTCAGAGGCTCATTTTGTACATCTGCACTTGCTGCTTTAGGTGCTGATGTTGCAGCTGAACCTGCAATAGGCAAGCTTATTTCCTTCCTAAGAGGAAGTGGGGGTGTCTTGCTGTGTCTCTTAACGTTTCAAAATTGTTAAGTGTAGGAGTCCACGCTGAAAGCCTGGTGTGCCGGATCCTAGCCCCCGATTCTTTCCAAAACTCGAGTCCCTCATCCTCTCCGGAGCAGGCTCGCGCAAATGTTTTGCTTACTTCTCCTTTCCGGCTCTGAGTCTCTGGTCTATAGTTCTGCAGTATTCACTGAGCAGCAGCCCTAAGTATGAAGGATTATGAGGAAGAGATGAAAAGAAGAGGAAGTATTCTCAAGAGCCTATAGTTTTTAAGATCTGCATCCTTCAATTCTGATTTAGATTTAAATCTAGCTCCTGGTGTGAATCTTATTTTAAATTTCATGAAAATTGGCAACGGCACGTGCACTGGGGGGTGATGATGCTGCCCATGACTTTCCCTCTTTCTCCTTGCTGTAGTCCACCCCAGTGCTTCTTGGAGGGTGTTCCTTAGACCACCAGCCTCAGCATCAACTGGGAACTGCTTAGAAATGCAAAGCCTTGGCCCCACCCCATGCACACAAAATCGGAAAGGTTGGGGCGGGACCCAGTAGTCTTGTTTTAATCATACAGAGCCTCTCTCTACGCTGATTCGATGTGTGACTTCAATGTACAATCAGTCTGAGAACCACCATTCCAGTTTTGAATACTTTAGTAAATATCAGGACTTTAAAAGAATAAGGAAAAATCAAACGAGAGCAGTTACAACCAAACGAGAGCAGTTACAATAAATCTTTGGCTCTAAGGTGAAGGCGTGGCCATCTCTATGTATACTAGGTCATAGTTGGTTAAAATTAGAATTTAACTGAAATCATCTGCTTGTTTTCACTTAGCTCAAGAATTCCTGACCCTCATGATCTCGGGCAGCAAAATTAATATTCTGGAAAAGTCAACTGACATTATTTGCAAAGGCTCAGATCATTTTCAGAAGGTTTATTTTATATCTGTTGACCTGTTTTATCTCACTAGATGGGCCAAACAAACACGAAATAATTGAACTTCCTCCGATGCCACTGTCTAGCATCCCTTCTCTCAAACCCTGAAGTAAATACACCAATATACATAATTTTATATAAAGATCAAACTCCAAATAAACACAATGAGATTTCTTGTCTCAGTGTCATAGTTGCACACTTCGTAGAGAGCAAGTAAGACAAAGGTCCTCAGAAAATAAAAAATGTGAATGACATAAAAAGGAGTAATTTAATATCATGTTAACTCATTCTCTATGATGCCAGGTAACGCTGCATCATGGCAAAGACACGATGTAAAGTATTCCCATATAATTTTGGAACCATTGATATGAGAATTCCATATTTCATAACATCAACAAACCAGATGAACCTCATCCACTTAAAGTAGAGAACAGTGAAAAGAACAAATGTCTTGTGAAGAGTGGAAATGAGAACAATGTGTCTGAGGTTAAACAGTGGAAAGAACTTGAGGATGTTGTGCATGAAATAATTATTTCTACAGTGCCATTTCTGCATTTAGTTTATGAGTATGTCAGGGTGTACGATCCAGGCATACTTGAAGAAAAAAATACCAATCTACATGACGTGTGGAGAAAGTCACTGCAGAAATAGCAAGTTCTATAAAAGGCTTATTAAAATTGAATCTTTGAAAAAACAAAGCTTATCTGGCCAGAGTACACATATATAAGATGTGCCTGTAACTCATTTAAGCCTACTATGAGCTTTTATGAATGAAATATTTCTTCAACTATTTGATAATCTAAAGGGATTATGAGATAGGAATTTATATAAAAACCAAACCAAAAAAGCCTCATAACATTTAAATTGCTACCACGATGAACAACAGTGTCCTAATTTTTATGTAGGTTGATTTTACACATTCTGGGCAGTTATTGTGTAGGTAAATGATGTGTTAGATGCTGCATTTAAGTTAAAAGTCTCTGTTTTTAATCTCACATAAATTTCCAAAATAATGGGCCACAGTATGAAGACTCTCCAGGCACTTAGTCATATAGAGAGAATATAATAACACTGCAAAGGTAAAACAAGTCTAGAATTAGTTTGCACATTAAAAATTAAGGAACTGTAACTCAGGCAGGTCTAGTGATTTATTCAAAGTCACAAAACCACGTATAGTTGGATTCAGGACTTTGTCACTCTATCTAGTACCCATTCTTAGTGGGTGGTAGATCTGATAGAGATGCGTCCATGCTGTTTCGTTCCAAGAAATATTTAGGATACAGCTCATAGGGAAGTAAACTGTTGAAGGCCAACTCCTTTCAGACTGGCCTCTTCAAGAAGCCCACGGAAGTCATTATGGACTAGTGCTTAGGCATTCAAGTATGGGTCAAGGTGTGAGCTTGCAGCTGAAACCAGTTTCTGCCACCAGTTTCTGCCACCACCAGTCCTTGGCCCCAGTACCCTGATCACCCCAGTAGAGAGACTGGAGCAGCTCAAGTGACGCCCACCAGTGCTGGGGTCCCTGCTGCAGAATCTCAGGGTTGGAGTCTAACATCTGGCCACACTAGGTATCCGGGCACCGGCCTACAGAGTAGTGTGCAACAAGTCCCTGAATTCTGCTTTTCTACTCCCTGTTTGAAGAATTCACCTGCACATACACACATAATCCAGCATGCCCAGCATGTGGCTACTGTATGCACCTTCACACTGTGGCTTCGTGACAACATCATTCCTGTGACACCGCCATCACTCAAACACTTCCATGTTTGAAATTCTTTTTGTGAATCATTTTCTAAGCTTTTCTTTGGAATTGTGTCATTGGTAAACAATCTTCAGACTTTGTATGTGGCCTTTATTTCTGGATGCGGGGGGGGGAAAAGGCAATGGCTATTCAGAGCCAAGTTTGGTGACTAAGGGTGAATAATCCAGCTGCATAATATTATTTGGTCAAAATAATTGCTGTGCCCAAAAGAAATAGATGGATTATGTTTTTAGTTCCTAAAATGACTCCAAGAGTAATTCCGAGAGAAGAGTTGTAGCATATTTGAGTAACATCAATCATTAAAGAAATTCTAAATATTAAGGAAGGTATTTGAAGAACCATACTTATCTGTCTGAATTAGTTTTGGGGTTTTGTTTAAAAAAAAAAAAAAAGTAATAGATTCTATCCATATTGCAAAGGCACGACACACGTAATAGCTCAACTCTTGTCTTCAACTCATTCAATCGTGTCTTCCTCTTCCCCCTAGGAGAAGTTCTATACACATACCTGCTTAGCAAACTGAAAAATTTTGAAACCTTGAAACATTAAAATAAGACTCAACATAGTGTTTCTATGCCAAAAAAAAAAAAAACAAGTACATTAGGAATATTACTCTTAGTGAGTCAAAATGTATAACAAGTCCAGATAATACCCTCTGAAACAGTGCCTCAGTAAATCCAAATGCACACATGTGACAACACAGCCAATAGTATTAGTACACAAATACAAAAGTAATTGTGGTTTTTGCCATTACTTTTGCACCATGTTAATATTTATAAAGGATTGTCAATCAGTTATTTGTTGAGCTACATTGCACACGGAGGTTGATGAAGTGAGCTGGCTCACCTGTTTCCTGGTGAATGGCTGAGCAAGAGGACGCCAGCATGTCTTTGCATCTGGGGTTCCTAGATCAGAGCCCTGAAAAGCAGCCGCAGTTTTTCCTGACCCAGTTGTTCACAAGTTCTCCACTGCATTTTCCCTTCTGTGGTTTTCAAAGAAACTGAACCTGGAGGAATTGATAGCAAGAATGAGAAGACACAGGCAAGACACCACATATTGCACACGTGGATTGCAGTATGGTTAATAATAATAATAAGTCATCTGAATCAAAAGTGGTATTAATACAAGTGGCTAAATATCAGACATCAACTAAGGAAATATGGTAAATATTAAGATCCCCTTTCTCAGGGAAATAAAGCATAGAGAAATAGAGAAAGCTTAATAGAATTTAAGTTCTAGTACCTTCAAACTCCCTAACCTATCAATATGCAATGATGCCTTCCTCATTCTTTCTTTTTTTTTTCTAATTTCTTTCATATCATTTTTACATTTAATTCTCTTTGTAAACATTTCCATGTTTATTTTGTATATATCAAAAGCATTTATCATTTAGTTTGTGGTGCTTTTACACCTTCTCTTTTCACAGTAATATAATACCTCTCTCTATATATTTGTACCTTTATCAAAATTATATACACTAATTACATATAATTTTATATAGGTCGATATAATAAAATTATATATATACATATATATAAACTGTGTCAATTAAAAACACATAATTACTCTCAGAAATGCTGATACTCATGCTAAACTGTTCCTTCTCCCTCATCCTCTGCAGATGGCGACCATCATTGTTGATTCAGAAGTGAAGCCAAAACATAATTTCCTGGTACTATTCTGGAAGGAGAATAAATAAGATAAAGTAAAAATGACTACGTATCCAATTAGAAAACGCAACTACCACCTCCACTCCAAAAAAGTCATACAAATACGTTCTAGTCTGTGACTCGTCTTCACCCTTCTGTGCACTGGCTTTAAAGGAGCGTTTTACACTCAGATTAAATATTCTCTTAGCTCAATATTTTATGATTTTAATTTCTAAACATGCATCTTAAAGCAAAGAACTTTGCTTTGTAGATTTGTTTTTTTCTGTATGAGATATTAAAATGTCTATTTTTCATAAACTGATAAAAATTACTCCTCCATGAAATTAACAAGGATGCAGTCACACACCATTATAATACTGAATCTTCTTTTTTTTCTCATTTTTATTTTATTTGGTCATTCTTTAAATTTGTAATACGCTTTTTTCCAAGATATTGTTTGATTCTAAGCATATACACTGATATCAAAATTAATTACTTAACAAAATCCCAAGAATGAAATTTACATCCTTAAGGAGAAGAACATTTAGTCTGACTCAGAGTGACTGGATTTAAAATGTATTTGCAGTTAACATAAAACATTCAGTTTTAAGATCATTGTAACATTTTCAAACAGGCAAATCTTGAAAGACATGCCTAGATTTGCTCTCAGCATAATTTATATATTTTTTTCTCTAAGAAATAGAGTTTAGCTTCCACTTAAAATGCATGAATATATGTCTGCCATATTTTGTTTTATTTTAGAGATCTAAATTCTACATTAAGTAGAATATGCAGTTTTAGATTAAAAAATAGAAAACCTTTTAAATGACTTAGTCTCATTTTTTTTATGTCCTTTCAACAAAGTGGGCTTTAGTCAGTGGGATGAAAGTAGTTAAAAAAAAATTTAAGAAAGGAAGAAATAAAAATGTTAAAAGGACAAGGTGAATTAAAATCATGGTAGCACAAGTTCGTAGTCTACAGGGTAAAATTTGAAGACAAGGCCAGGCATGGGGACTCACGCCTCTAATGCCAGCATTTTGGGAGGCTGAGGTCAGGAGTTTGAGACCAGCCTGACCAATATGGTGAAACCCCATCTCCACTAAAAGTACAAAAATTAGCCAGGCATGGTGGTGTGTGCCTTTAATGCCAGTTACTCAGGAGGCTGAGGCAAGAGAATTGCTTGAACCCAGGAGGTGGAGGTTGCAGTCAGCTGAGATTTTGTCACTGCTCTCTAGCCTGGGTGACAGAGCAAGACTCTTGTCTTGGGGTGGAAAAAAAAATGAAGACGATCACAGTCATACAAGTTACAGGATAGTCTTCACTACTATTTGACAAAGACATAAGAAGCACTCCATTGTCAGTTTTCTGTAGGTTAGATTTGAATCAGGGATCTAACTTTCTGTGCCCATGTTACCCTGAATTCATTGCATCAGGTTTTAGTGGTCACCACAGGAAGCAGAATCTTGAGAGAATGGAATCTAGAACAGGCACCTTGTTGATGGGGGTGAAAAAGAAACAAAGAAATCGGAAATATGTGGAGTTTACGTCCAGAGGGGAGAGAGGAAGAATGCCTATGTGAGGAGAAACATAACTGATCAGTGCATTAAAGAAAAGTTTCATCAGATGACCATTTTTCCCAAAGCCAAGTCAAAAAAAGATATGATTCAGCACAGAGAGTAAGGCTGGAAAAGACTGACAAGAAATGAGAATTCTACTCAACATGCTCATTCTAGTGTCTCTGCCTTTTTCACAGCCATTTTTGCTATTTTCCTATCCTTTCATTTCTTTCCTTTTCTTAACATACTTTTGACAAGACAAAAAACCAAAATGACCAGCAGTCAAATCAGTGTTTCAAGCAAGAAAGTATAGAATGATAACAATGTTTTAGATATATCCGTTTCAGTAAAATATATTATAAACATTTTTAAAAAAGAAACTATAGAGAACTTTATTCTAGCAAAGAGTTGACTTCCTTTTTTAATTCCTTAGGATAGGCCCAAGCATACTAACTTCAGTGTCTCTCTGGGACACGCCCTATTTACTTGTGCAGTTCTTAAGTTCATAAGGGATTCCCAACCACAGCTACTGAAATCTTACCCATTCCTTCCCACCTGTCAGTGGTTTTAAATCTTGGAAAAATTGGGGCGGGGGTGCAAGAATTTCAAAAGAGAAAGCAGAAAAATCAAAGAGAACAAAAGAGGAAGTGAAGCTGAGAAGAGAAACGTCAGATTGGAAGAGTGGGTATCTGTGAGAGACGCTGCACTCGCTCACTCTCAGATTGGATGAGTGGGTATCTGTGAGAGACGCTGCACTCACTCACTCAGGAGGAAGGAAGAAGAATGGACATCACCAAAAATCTATCAGCAAGGCTCTTTCATTTCTTCTCTCCTTTCGTTCATTCCAAACGTCACACGGGGAACACGGATCCAAAGCACTTCCATTTTTTTCTCACAGTAGAATAACTTCATAGAATAAAGTGCTACACTGTTATATGAAATCCAGCACAAATTATTTTATTTTGTGACTAACATCTGAAATGATCCCAAGAAGATAACTTCAGCCAGAGAAGAGAACTCCCTCTACAATCTTGCATCTGGGAAAAGCACCTACCATCTTGGCTCAAGATAGGAGATAAGAATGGAGGTTTTTAAACTCTCCTCAGTTTTTTCTCTTTTGTATGTCCTGGAACAATTCCTGGGACAAGACGTTTGAAAAGGTGAGATAAATTATACCAACCTTTTGAGGATCACATATCTACTGTATGTACAAATAATAAACTCATCTGTTGTATTTAAAGCATTCCAATAACTAAGGGTTTGCAATGTGTCACTGAGATGATTCAGAAAATACATGTCTTCCACAACTATTTTTAAGGATCCCTAATATGGATTGTTATATCTCATCTCCCTCTCCTGATTCTTTTAAACTATATCCAAGCCACATAAAAGAATAGATTCTACCAGACATTCCTTATTTCCTTCAACACCTTCACTGAATTAAAATCAGAAGCTAAAGAATGCAATGTTTCTTTTCTGTACCCTAGGCATAATTCCAGTTTTGACTCATATGTATATAAAGTACTTAAGCACTTTGATTCTTCCAAATCATTTCCTGACCTAACTTCCTTGAAAACTACTTAGAAGAGGTAAAAGAACAGTATTGACCCTTTTATTCTACATGGTATGGCCTTTCAGAAGTCTAAACAGTCTTTTCTGCAGTTTGTGGGGAAGATTCCTTCTTCATTGTGGTCCTTAAAAACATCTATCAGAAGACTAAGAGTCGTGTAAATTGAATTTTTTTCTTTATTCATCTATGTTTCCAATAAATATCTTTGTCACTGTTAGAGAGAGCTTTTGACCACCTAATGTTCAAAAACCAGTTCAAGCTTGTCTTAAAAGTGTTCCAGCAGTATCATGATCTACACAATTATGTCTACAAAAGTTGGGTTTAAAAATCACTACATTTTAGTTGACTTCTTTTTTTAAATTTTTATTTGCATTTTAAGTCCCTGTACATGTGCAGGATGTGGAGGTTTGTTACATAGGTAAACGTGTGCTATGGTGGTTTGCTGCACCTATCAACACATCACCTGGGTATTAAGCCCAGCATGCATTAGCTATTTTTCCTAAAGCTCTCCTTCCCCCTACCCTACCCCTGACAGGCCCCAGTGTGCGTTGCTCCCCTACCTGTGACCATGTGTTCTCATTGTTCAGCTACCACTTATAAGTGAGAACATACAGTGTTTGGTTTTATGTTTCTACATTAATTTGCTAAGGATAATGGCTTCTGGCTCCATCCATGTCCCTGCAAAGGACATGATCTCATCCCTTTTTATGGCTGCATAGTATTCCACCGTGTATATATACCACAAACACCCCCATTAAAAAGTAGGCAAAGGACATGAACAGACACTTCTCAAAAGAAGACATTCACACGAACAACAAACACATGAAAAAAAGCTCAACACCACTGATCATTAGAGAAATGCAAATCAAAACCACAATGAGATACCATCTCACACCAGTCAGAATGGCAATTATTAAAAACTCAAGAAACAACAGATGCAGACAAGGTTGTGGAGAAATAGAAACATTTTTATACTGTTGGTGGGAATGCAAATTAGTTCCACCATTGTGGAAGATGGCGTGGTGATTCCTCCAAGATCTAGAACCAGAAATACCATTTGATTCAGCAATCTCATTACTGGGTATATACCCAAAGGAATATCAATAATTCTATTACAAAGGTACATGCACACATATGTTCATAGGTGACTTCTTTTTTAATGAAAACTAGCACATGTGTGTGAATTTCAATAATGGAACTGGGCTAGGAAGCATCTGAGAAGCTTTAGGATGAAAGTAGGACAAATAAATGTACAGGGTTGAATACAGAATAAGGTAGTTTGTGTTACGAAAATAAGAGTTATATGGAATATGCCTGTTCAAACTGTATGTAACCCTTCCTCCACCTTCAGAAGGATATGCTCTCCTATTCCTCATTCAATCCCAGATACACGATATATAGGAACTCAGGAGAATGTTCTTATAATCAGGATAAGCCTGTAATGAATGGTCTCCTAGCTATTTACTTGAAATCTGTAGTTCATTCTTTGTTTTCAGGCAAAAACACATAATAGCAATCAACTTTTGAAGGAAATAGGAGATCCAAGACAATACAAGCATTTGAGTCTCAATTCGGACATCTCTGGATTGTGATCCAGTTAAATAATGCCTCCCACTGCAGTTCCTCAGCCCAGTGCAAAGTCAAACCCCAAATGGCTGAACGAAAATCTGAAAGGCTTGGAGAAAATAAATGGACTGCCTGCTTTTCATTATGCTCCAGTCTCAGGATGAGGATACATCTGGTTTTCTGATTACACTTTCCTGTAGTAAAGAAAATTTTAGCCTAGCAGGTCAAACCAGCTGATGACTAGCCAGCTCCAATTACTGACCTGACCTGCTTCTAACCTCAAAGGGGAAAAAAAGAAAACCCTTTTTACTCACTCTTAGAAACCGAAATATGGGTGTA